GAAAATGTAAAGTGATGTAGCCAACTGAGATGGGAATAAAAAAAAAAAGAATGGGTTTTTGGGAAGAGGATGGAAAAACAGGATGAGTTTGGTCTCTGGATGTATTGAGTTTCAGTGTACTGTGGGACATCTATGGAAAGCAATGTGTTCTTAAAAGTGGAATAAAGCTGTTCTCTGTTTCTCATGAAGTTTTCAACCACTTTTCATGAGCTAGCAAAATGACTCAGACATTTCTAACATCCCTTTATTATGCCTGTGGTTAGGATTTTAAGATCCTTTCCTCTGACCCTTAATTAAACCTCGTTGCCTTTGTTTTATCAGCTCTTTGGGCGATTCAGTCTGCCATTTTCTCACCCTAAGTCTGAAGCACCCAAGTTGGTGCTTCGCTTAGATCACAGTAGGTAACAGAATTGTCTAATAAAAATCTGTCAAAAGAAAAAGTGGCACAAACAGTGGGACATCTTAGAAGCTGAGGTCACTGCCAACTCTTTGGGATCTTGAGTGATTTTCTTCTATGGGCCTCATTTTCCTCTCTTACAAAGTGAGGAAATAGGCGTGGTAATCTTGAAAGGTCCCTTTCTGTGATCTGAGCATGAAGAACAACTGGTAGCCTCATTAAGAAAATCCATTCTACAAGAGAAAGCTGCTAATTTGCTTAAGACTGAGCTATATCCATTCAACCACACCTAACTCCTACCCCTTCCCCCTCCCTGCCCCTGGGAGGAAGGACCAAGTGAGTCCCTTTGCAGTAGAACCGAACTCTAATTTTCAGGATCCAGCTGAGTTTACTTCAAGTACTTAGGATCAAATAGTTGATCTTAAAATAATTTTCTATTCCAGTTGGAGCAGTTTGCTTCATTTGATCTTTATTGAAGACACTTTTATGTTAGAAGCAGCAGGTGTACTATATGATAAAGTCAAAGGGTCATATTTGTCGCTTTCAGGTACTGTTATTTTTCTTGATGTCTCTGGGATTCATACCAGACTTGAAAATACTTTGTTTCAGAGCCTTTTTCAATATAAGAATGCCTCATAAAATGATGGGTAGAGGTAGTGCCAGGCATTTTCATTCTTTTTACCCATAATTCTCCTCAGTGCCTCCCCATGTTCATGAGCACATGTGTAAAGAGCGTAGGAAACAATGGAGAAGGTAAGTTTTTGATTAGCCTTTCCAGGGATTTCATCCGCACCCTATCCTTAGTCCCCGGTTGCCTACTTCAGAGCTGCACTAGCAAGGACATAGTCATTGGAAGACAGAGGTAGTCATTAACCAAATAAATATTTAAGTACACGTTTAAATACAGTTCCAGATGCTTTAGGATATAAAATTACCGAAGTGAATTTGTTAAGTCATCTGCTGTTGAGGAACTTTAATATGAGGACTGGGGTAACTTGAACATTGTTAATCAGAGTAGCAGTAGGCCAGCAGCATGGGCCTAGGAGTTTGTTAGACATGTAGAATGTCCAGACCTTGTGGACCAAAATCTGCATTTTAATCAGGTCTTTAGATGATTCACAGGCACAGAAAAGTTCTAGAAGCAGTGGCCTAGAATACAAACTGGTAATGTTCTGTGAGAATTCAGGGTAATTAACCCCCCCCTTTTTTTTTTAGCACTTCACATAAAATTATCTTGTTGACTTTTTATAACTCCATGAAGTTGGTTCTGTTATCCTTAGTTGACAAAAGCTTTAGAGATGAAAGTTAGGAAGGGGTTGGAGCCTAGTTTCCAATCTTTTCTGACTGGAAGAATATCAGGGAGGGGAACTTAATGTGAAGGAAGAAAGAGGGAACGTTGCAGATGGCATTTAAAGTATCAAAAATGCCACAGCTCTGTAATTAAATTGAGTGTATTGCTTGTGAAAATGAATAATGGGAAATAAAGTTTGAAGTGTAGGTAAAAGCCAGGTCATGCAGATCCAAATCCAGTCCTATATCCAGTATTGACATTTCCTCATGAGAAAAAAGATGGAAAACTGGTGCATATTGTTTCTGTGAACAACATATAACCTGTGAAAAGGTCAACTTTTCTTAAAGAATCTTCTGAAAGTCAGAAAAGTTGCTCAATTCCCTCTCCTCCCCACCTCCTCCTCCCACAGTAGAATGATGCCTCCTGGCTTTGTATTACACATTCAGGGGCAAAGCCTCCTGTTATGTAAAGCTCAGTCTAGGAAGAGTGGCTCACTCTATTTTGTCTTGCTGGGTTTACATCTGCAGAAATAGATTGTGACAGACTGCATTTGGAGATCTGAACCATTTTGAGGAAGGTAACCAGGATAGTCAGATTTAGCCTGTATTTGGTACGTTTAGCCTGGAAAAAAAACAGGAGGGACAAAAGTTACAGCCAAATATTTACAAAGGACATACCATCACTAGCTTCTAGGGATAAGAGGAATATGATGACATGGTAAATTTTCTGCATTGTCGAAATTAGAGTCAAATGAGGGTAGACATTAGATAAATACTAAAAATAGTTAAAAGTGCAGCAATAGAAGCTCTGTGATGGAAACCAAAAAGAGGCAGGAAAAGCTTTCTTGAGGAAGTGATGTTTAAACTGAAATTCAAAGAATCAATAGGAGTTAGCCAGAGGATAATGTGCAAAGCTGTTGTGCAATTATATGCAAAAGTCTAGTTGAAAGAAAAAATGGAAAAGGGAAAGGAGAGGGTTGGATAGGCAAGAAGGAACCAAGTATTTTAGTGCCTTGCAGCCATGTTGTAGATACTGGGTTTTGTTTGAAAGGCAACAACCTATTGAAAGCTTGAAAGTAAGTGTTGCCTATGTTGTAAGTTGCCATGTTAAGTCAGAAAGTCCTAATAGGGCATGATATTGCAGACTACTGAGTGGACATAACAGCAGGCTGGCTTGCTGGCTAGGTGGGTGGATGACACTAAAGGCTGAGATGTCTTCCATAGTTATAAATTCGTGGTCACTGGAACTTTTCAGGTGTCCAAGTGGGGAATCAAATAAGTTTTTTGGCCTAGATTCTTTTTGAGGAATCTTACATCACTGAGATTTACAATACCTTGTATTTGGTCATAAATGCCACTACAAATAATATCAATAGTTGCCATTATCTGTATGTGTAGCTTGGTACTTCTACACAAATTATCAAATTTTCCACTATAGCTCTACAAGGTAAGAGTAACTCCCACTTCACAAATGAAGAATCAAGCCCCAGGTTAAACAGCTTGCCCAAGGTAAAAAGGTTAGTGAATAGTAGGGTGAAAATTTGAACCCAGACCTATTATACTGCCAAAGGCCTATCCTCCTAACAGTTACTGTATAAAGCTCCTATACAAATGTACACAAATAAGGTAATAGGCACTTGATAAGTGAATGATTTAGGCTGGAAGTTTTTCTAGGGACTTCACATTTACTTAAAAATAGTTTAATGAATGCTATGCTCCAAGCACGAGGGATACAGTAGTCAATAAAATGGATATGGTCCCTGTCTTCCTTGAGTTTACAATAGACAAGACATATTCAAAAACTGCACAAGTCACTAAAATTGTGTTAAGTGCTTTGAAAGTAAAATATAAGATGCTTTTTAACAGGGGTCTAATCAAGTGTGGGGAGTATTAGGTAATGATTCAGCAGTCTCAAACCTATCTTTATCCAAAACATTTCTGGTTACCATTCTTTGTTCTTTAATGGTTTCTGACCTGTGTTTAACCTGTTAGAGTCAAATCCCAAGTCTTACCTGAGTAACTTTTAGTCCTTACTATAAATTTTGAATCCTGGCTACTTGTTTGTCACTAGCAGACTAAGAGACTATGAGTTCAACATCCATATCAGTCACTCCTAAATCATTTCTCTCCAACATAAGTACTACATACTTCCAACAGCTTTCTAGGCTCCATTTTCTGGATGTGTCTCTGATACCTCAAGTAATTCACCATACTTCCCCTCCCTGTAAGAAAAAAAGTTACTCCTTCCCCACCAGGTGGTCCTATTCCTGTTCTTTCAAACAGAACAATTTGTAGTAGTATCAAATGATATTTTCTAAAAATTACTTGTTACAGCTGACCCCTTCTCTCTTTCCTTAGTACCCCCTCCCCTCCTCTTAGTGCAGACCCTCTTTTGGAACTATCCTGCTGTGTGCGAACTATCTTTTTCCATGTAAACTTTTTTGGAACAGATCATTTTATATTTTCATATTGCCTTGCTGAGAAGATAGGTACTAACCGGTAAGTAATTTGATAACATGTCAGGTACTTTATATTGATTGCAATGTGCTACTGTTTACAATGTGTTTAGATTATACCATTTGTCCCTAATATAAATTGTTGAGGTGGAATACTCCTCTATAAAAAGATGAGGAAAATGAAGATCAAATGTTAAAAGCCTTCCCAACACAATTTCTAAACAATAGATCTATACAATGGTGACATGAAAGAAAGGAATGCTACAAAATGATCCAGTAATAACCTTTCTCCACATTTATCAAGTAAACTATTCACTTTTTAGTAAAGCCCTCTCTAAATCCTGTCTCCTCAAAACTCCACATAACCTCAATTTTCTCATTTGTCATGTGAAAATATTGCTGTTCATTCCATTGATTACTGGAAATGATCTACATACCATCCAAGTAGGGTGACCACTAGTCACATGTGGCTATTTGAATTAATTAAATGTAAAATTGAGTTCCTCTGCCACAGTATACACATTTCAAGAGACTAATAGCTACCATATTGGGCAGAGCATATAGTTCCATCTTTGCAGAAAGTTCTACTGGACAGTGCTATGCTAGAGCTAGGAATTGCCAAAGACCAGAGAGAGCAATATGACTGAACTGAAAACCCAGGCCAGTACTTGACTGGTTTTTAGTGAGAAAGTTCACTAGATGAGTGGGAAGCAAGCTCATCTTTGGAACAGTGACATCACAAAATACAGCTCATAGTGGCTCTAGAACACATGGCCTCCCAGGTCACTTTCCCTAACGCAAATCTATGGTCCTGAAGCCTCTGCACATGTCGCTCCTGAAGCAGCTATCTCATTAAAATGTCAACATTTCCATCTTCATCTATCAGTGACAAAATAGATTATGCCTCTCTGAGCTCACTATGGAACTGGCTACAAGCAACTTTTCTGGGAGAGAGTAGTGTGCCTCAGCAAACAAATTTGAGGCTACTAAATTATCTTGCTCCGGCTGTGCAAGTTATCCTGAGGATTTTCTTTTTTATTTTGTTGGGAGTAGGACTGTATGCCTTGTGGAAACGAAGTATTCGGTCAATTCAGGTTATACTTTTTTTTTTTTAAACAAATTTAAATAGTTACACATTGGAACTTGATCAGTTCTCTTCCATATTGCTGCCACCCAATTTTAAGACCGTGTACATGAGCAAGGGTGAACCCTTGTCTGAAGTTGGTTGAAACTAAATTATCCTTTAAAACTTCCCCAGTTAGGTTTTGAGCATAAAAAAAATGCTCTTTCTTACAATGGTCTTTGGCTTGTGTTATAAGAAAATAGATCAAACAAGTTCATAACTTGAGAAGGCAGCCTTACCCCCAAATTTATTTGAGCACTGCTCCATCTTTGAGGGTCTACTATGCATCAGACACCATTTGGGATACCTTTTATAGAACAGGTAGTGTGAGCATAACTGGGATCTTGGGTTCTTAATGTGCTCTGTAACTGATAAGGAGACATGTGTATTCATTTAGTCATCATGGTGTTTTTACTATTTCCTTGTTTTAACAAGATAGGGTTCCATAATTATACAGTGGCTCATTTTGGTAATAGGAGTATAATTGGTTGGGATTATGAGAAACATTTAGGACTTTACATACTTCTGTTTAATCACCAATAATAGTTATACTTACAATATAGTCAAAATGCTTTAATCCTAACAATTCCATGAAATGGACAGAAATTATTTTCATATGACAGAAAAAACAGGTGAACTGAGGTTCAGTGAAAATTAAAGGAGGTAGGGTTTTTAAAAAGACTTCCTTAAAGAATGGTTTGCTTGGAAAATGCTAAGAAAAGTTATCACTGGATTCATAGCACTCATTTCCATATGTCATTACTGTTGAGGAACCATGGTCACTCATGCTCTTAATTTTTCAAAACCTTACATGGTAGGCAAGGCAGGGATTATCTCCATTTTGTAGGCAAGGACATTTGGTTATCACCTACCCATGTTGACAGATTGGAAGAGCTGAGACTTGAACCCAAGCTTTAGGACTGCAAATTCAATTCTTTTCCAAAATCTCATTTAACATAATCTAACTGACCTAAATCCCCAGCATGAATATGTGTGTATATATATTCATATATACACATTTTAATTAGACTATAAGGCAGAAAAGAGAGAAAACCACCTCTTATTTGTAATTTCGGGTTCTGCTTTTACATGATTAATGCTTAGCTCAATCAGAAAGATGAATTCATAGTCCTCCAGAAACCTCAACCAAGAAAAAGCAGCAGTGTAACAGAGTAGTAAATAGTACAAACTCTGGAATTAACTGCTTGGGCTTAAATCTTGAATCCACCACTTGTTGTGTGACCAAAGGGCAATTACTCAACCTCTAAACCCCAGTTTCCTTATCCATCAGAAGGGTTTGCTAACAGTACCTCCCTCAGGGTTGTGAGGATTAAAGGAGATATGGTACGTATAAAGCTTAAGATACAAGTACTTAATAAGCAGTGCAAGTATTATAAGAAGAAAGATGATTTGCTTCTTTTATTCTGGCAGGAATCTGTCCTGGTACATTTAAAAAAAAGCATTTTTTTTTTTTTTGCAATGACCAGAAAATCCAGTTTTTCAGACCACTGCATCTCAAAAAAATATATGCAGACGTCAGAATTCCTGAATTTCCAGTACTGACTCAACCATTTCCAAGTATATGACCTTGGACAATGACAGGGTCCAAACTGGAAGGTAACTAAATGGCTATTCAGTTGTTTTTTCTACACAAATAGGTCATGCATAGGTAAGGAAGCTCCTAGCAAGGAGCCCTGCATGTGGCAAACTTTTAGCAAAGGGTGTCCATTACAATCTGTATTAAAGTAAATGCAAATAATCATCCCTGGCCTGCCTGTCACTCCATTTTGTGGTGAAGATCAAAGTACAAACTAGGGGTGCAGATGTTAAACAAGGCTTGGCAAAGGAATGAGGGCTTACTTTTACCATTAGGTTTTTGTTTTGTTTTGCATCTATAGCAAACTGGCATTTGAGATGAGTAAACAAGTAACATTAAACTTCTTTTGTTTTATTTTAGAAAATACTGTTGTTTGTGATCACACTCTACAAACTTTACAAGAAGGGCTCAGATTTTTTTCAGGCCTTGCTGGTCAACCCAGAAGGGAATGGTCTCCCAGTTCAAGACAATAATTTCTTCCTGTCCTTGGGTCTGCAAGAGAAAATTCTGAAAAAACTTCAGATGGTGGAAAACAAAGTGAAGAGCCTGGAGGGGATGATCATCTCCCAAAAACCTGCCACGAAGAGGGATCGCTCCTCTGAGCCCTACTGCAGCTGCTCTGACTGCCAGAGTCCCTTGCCCACATCAGGGTTTACTTCCACATCTGAAATGTGATGGACTCCAAGCTTTTCCAGAAAAGCACTGTTTCCTTTATGTGTGCTGTGGCGTATCAATAAAGATAGAGAGCTATATTGAAATCACCATGCAAAGACTGGCTCATCAGTAGAGCCCAACTTCTACTTGTGTGTGTGGTGGGGTAATACTGGGTTTGGTGGTAGTTAAAAACATCCCTGAGATTGTGGTGCCTGCTCCGCAGGCTGGAGACTATAAGCAGTCGGATAGAAAAGGACAGACAAACTGGAATCCATGGGAGTGGGAAGGGGACAGTGGTCAGGGAAATAGCCTTGAGCTCCATGCTGAAGAGGTTGGAATGGATATCATCAAAACACCAAGAAAGTGCTGTTGATGGGCAATGCTGTGGACTGTCCTGTAAAGGTAGACTGACCCTTGTGCTGGTCTTAGGCCCAAAGGTAAATATTTGGCCCAGGAGTCTCACTGCATTACTTATGCAGCAGTGAGCAAGGGTGGGAATGGACATAAAGGAGTCTGTTTAACTTCATCCAACTTTTACTGAAATTTCCTCTGTGCTAAGCATTGTGATTATCCTTGGGAATCTGTCCTGAGTGCTTCAGGCACGCTCAGTTTGGCTGGTTGAACAGGTAATTTCAGAAAGAGGAATTATAATACAGTGGGCTCTTAACATCTTGAATTTAGGGGAATTCTCAGATGAATCCAGCTTGGCAGGGAGGAAAGAGAGACGGGAGGCACCTACCTGCTATTACACCCATTTTGAGTGTGTACCCTGTCAAGAAAGGTGGCCTACTGGGGAATAGACAATAGATGGTCCTCTCAGTGAGTCTCCAAGTCCAAAAGCCTTATAGTGTGTGCATTTTTGCCACAGTAAGTGTGATTACACTCATTGAAACACATCTAAATGAAGTATTTCACTTGCCGTGCAAATAAACAGGGTTTTATTGCCGTGCTGGACAAAAGCTGGCTGTGCTATTCAACAGGAGACAAGATAGCAGCTTCCCAAGTGTCATCTTCGTTAGAGATTTCCAAGGGCAATTTTGATCATTTTTGGCCAGTGCACTGGTCTTAAAATGCAGTCCTTGTGTAAAATGAGACTTCATTGTATAGTGTACTCAGTGCAAAAACAGGTCAACAGGTTGGTGAATACAGGGTGGACCTAGGAAAGGTTTTACAGAGGTGGCACTGAGTTATCCCATAAAGGGTTACATAGAAAGGTATCCAGCAAAACGGTGTTCCCACTGCTGGAGTCATCATGGAGCCACATAAGAAAGAGGGTGGCTTACCTGGAGAACAAGGAGTTTCAGGGTGGCTGAAGAGCTGGATATTTCCAGAGCTACAATGAAGGATTTTTGCTTCAGGGCAAGACACACTAACCTCATCCTCAAATCAGCTTTTAATTCATGATGTAGCGAACACAACAGAACAGATGGGAGTTATCAACAATTTCTGTAATCTGACAATGTAGGTGAGAAGTTTGTAAACCATGCTGCTGCTGCTAAGATGCCGTGCAATCTTTTAAAGTCAATGTCTCAATTTTTTATTTTTTGTGCTATCTCAATTTCAGTGTCTTCTTGCTTTGTTCCAGTCATTTTGACTTGGTTATTACTCGGGAATATCAAAAAGAAAGCATGTGAAGAAGAGCCTAGAATAGACTGATACCAGGTAATGAAGGGCATTTAAAGGTCCTCTCATACTATTGGATATGGACACCTGTAGGATTTTAAACAAGGGAGTAACACAGATTTGGTAATCTGTGTGGAAGATTGATGCAAAGTGTGTAGAAACTAATGGGGTCACCTTGTTCCTGAATCTCAGCTCCCGAGAAGAGAGGTGTGATTTACATCACAATCATAAGGAACTAATACAAGTACTCATTCCCAGTGGGGGCAGTGTTTTCTTGACATCAGAGCACTTCTGTCCAGGGCATCAGTTAAGTGACCTTGGATGCCTGGCAAGCAGAGATTCAAGCCAACATAGGGAAAGGGCTTGAGACCTATTTTGTCATTCAGTTAGATGGGGTAGATGAACTACCCTTTACCAGTGTCCACTACTCTAGGGAGGAGGCTCCTTATCCTCTAAATTCAATCTGTCTCTTTTGGCAAAACCCTGACAATATGCTATTTTGAGCTCCTATTTCAGACTCCAGATAGACCAGCCCGTCTATTAACACTATCTTTCTGCACGGGGAACAAGTGATTTATTCCCTTTCATTAATTCACTTTTCCCTCCACTGTTACCAGCCTAGCCCAAGCCACCATTATCTCTCACCTGGTTCTTGAATGGCCTCCTAACTGGATTCCCTGTTTCTGTCTGTGTCCCCATTATATGGTTCTCTACACAGCAGTCAAAGAGATTATGTTACTACTCTATTCAAAATCTTCCAATGGCTTATTTTTTCACTCTGAGTCAAAGTCAAGTTCTTAAATAAGACTGTGTATGATGGCATGATCTGTACTCCACCTCCTTCTTACTTTCCATTCACTCTTACAATTCCTCAGATATGTGAAGAAGCATTGTCCCACCTCAGGGCCTTTGCACTTGCTGTTCATTGTGCATGGCGTACTTTCCCCAGATGCTCTATGGCTTCTTCTCTTACTTTCGTTGGGTCTGTGCTTCGCTGTCAGCTATTCTGACAGGTTTTCCTTGGCCATCTTACATAAAGTAGTTGCCCCTCATGCCAACATGCTGTTTCACCCTTTCCCTGCTTTTTCCTCAGAGTACTTAATCACTTCCTCCACTTTTGCTGTTACGTATTTGCTTTTCTATCAACCCCAATCCGCCCCAGCCCACTAAGTATGTAAGCTTTAGGAGAGGAAAGGACTTTGGTTTACTGCTGTATCCTGAGCACCTACAACAGTGTCTGGTACTTAGTAGACACTCAGTATTTGTTGAATGAATGAATGAATTATAGTCATTACTTTTAGAAACTTCATACCAGCTTCCTGTTCCTCAATCTCTTCAGATACATGGTGTCAGATCAACACTATGGTACAATTCTCACAAGTATGGGCAGCCAGTAGCTAATCTTTATTGGGCAAGCCAGATACATTGTTAAGAGATTTACAGGATTTTTCTCATTTGATCCTCACAGTATGAGGAAGCAAATACTATTATTCTCTTTTTACTGATGGGGAACTGATGCACAGAGAGGTTAAGTAGCTTGCTAGTACATGGTACAGTTGTGACAGGCACTCAAGCAGCCTGACTAAATCTGTGCTCTTAGCCACAAATTTTGGGTGGCAGAAGCTTCTGTGAGGCTTTGGACCAACTGCACCAGGCTGCCTGGACCTAGACAGATAAAGACAAGACCGAAGAGGGCATATCAATGATAGCCCAAGGGGGAGAGAATTTTGAAAAAGCATTTATCCCCTCATATTTTAAGTTGATATCTAAAGTTTTCATCATTAATTTATATAGTTGCAATGGATGTAAATTTTGGCAAATTATAAACGACAATTTAAGATAAAACTGTAAAGTTACTTTTTATAATGCATCCCACAGAGTCTACATAACAATTGAAAAACCACTGTTATCCACTTAAAATAATACAAATAAGCTCTTTAACATTTGTTAATTCTACATTTTATCATCTCTAATTTATATTTATATTCCAATTCCCCATTAAATGTTATTCAAATGTAACTTTTTGTTAGAAAAACCTTTAATTGATCACATTTGAAATAAAAGTATGTATGTATTAAAGTAGAATTTTAAAAATTTTCCTGTAATTGTATGGATCTATTAGAAAGAATTCTTTGAATTGACTAATCATTATAATTATCGTTGAATTAATGATTAAAAATCTGCACAAAATGATATCATCACAAATTTTAATACATAAGCATAAAGTGTAAAAATCTACTGGAAATGCATCACTCAGTGAGATGGATAGGGCTTCCCCACCAATTAATTCATGTGTCTGAATGACTGTTTCTTACGGATAGATTTTTTTGTTTTCGTAGATACAGTGCTGAGCAATATTACACAAATAGCTGGGAATGCTAGTTTTCTTATAGGAATGTCAATCAATTCTTTGTTTTCCTTCTGAGTTATATGCCAAAAATCAAATAATGTTCTTTCATTAGCTGACAGTTCAATTAGGCCCACCACCAATTCTTTGTTGAAAGCAAAGAACTGGAAACAATTTGACTTGCAAAATAATCTGTTCTCCTGTCATTAGAGTCCATCACTTTCTCAAGTGACTTTTAATTATATGATTACTCTCATTTTTGAAGCATTTAGGAAGAGTTGGGAAATTGAAGGTACTGTTAATTTCAACACATCTTTAGCACTATAATGTCACTGTAATTTAAATATACTTTAGTTGCAGCTGCAGATTTAGCTCAATTCATAGTAAATAAGTGTGCAAATTAGCAACACCACTCTTTATCAATCCAATTAATCAAGTCAGACTTATCTTCGGTCAGAAAAAATTTCACTTTCCAAGTCAAACAAATGTGTTAACAGTCGTTCCTGTGACCACATTTCACTTCTGAATTCCAAGACAGATATGGCATTGCGCTTTGAGGGGAGTTTGTCCCTAGAAAGTAAGACCCTTTCGGTTCAGGTTTCTAACCTACGTTATCCTTGCTTTGCTCCACGCACTCTCTCAGGCAAAATGCCGCCTTTTGACTCACTCGGGGTGGAAGAGGCCAGATGTTTAATAAAAATCTAATCACTACCGACCGTTCTCTAACGTGCCTGAATTCAGAACACCGGATACAGGCCAAAATACGGCACTTAAAATGCCTAGTCTCGCTGTTAACTATACCTTTAATCTTAATTTATCCCGGGATGAACATACCACAGTCCGAATAGCATTAGTTAGAGGAATGGTCTCTAGAGCCTGGGACGTCGGCTCCTCTCGTTCTTCTCAGCTATTTCAGGGCTCGAGTAGCAGTCCACTGTGTTAGTTCCCGCTCAGTCCCACTACACGGGGCGGGGATAAACGGCTCAGGCCGCAGCTCATCCAGGCAAGCGCCCCGAAGAGAAGAGATGCAATTGCGGCTCTGGGAGCTAAG